ATTGTATCATAAAGGTATTGTTAAAACATGGAATTGTTTGATCATGGTATTGTTCATTCATGGTATTTTTCATTCATGGTATTGTTCATTCATGGCATAGTTCAAAATTGTATTGTTCAATGATGGTATGATGGTATTGTTTCATGTGATGATGGTATTGTTCAATGATGATATTGTTCAATGATGGTATTGTTCAATCATGGTATTGTTCAATCATGATATTGCTCAATCATTCATGGAGTTGTATCATGGTATGAATATATCATGGTATTAATATGACGTTTACTGTAACCCACTACCATAGTTTTCAGGGTATTTTATGACATTTTTTGTCCATATCATTATGAAAGAATATTATGTTTTCCGGTTTCTTAGCGAGGAAACAAAATTTTGACATTCGCTTGACAGTTTGACATAACGAGCTTTCGTTGTTTTTCTAATTTTTCATTTTCGTTCTTCCTTTGTATGTGTGTTTGCCGTGTGTTTGTTTGTATTTTTTCGTGTGTGTGTGTGTGTGTGTTTTGTGTGTGTGTGTTTGCGCGTGTGTATTTGTGTGTGTATGGGTTTGTGCTTGAGTGCGTGTCTGTTTGTGTGTGTTTATGTTTCAAGTGTGTATGTATGTGCTTGAGTTTGCGTGTGTGTATGTGAGCGTATATGCCTTTGTATGTACCCCAGAGATCTATTGTGTTGTGTGTGTGTGTGTGTGTGTGTGCATGTGTTCATGGTTTGTGTGTCTTTGTGTTCTATTTGTGTGTGTGTTCATGGTTTGTGTGTCTTTGTATGTACCCCAGAGATCTATTGTGTGTGTGTGTGTGTTCATGGTTTGTGTGCGAGTGTTTCAGCGAGCGTTGAGCATAAATAATTCAATTTGTTTCCTTCAAAACGCTTCCTTTGATGAGCTCTCTCCTGCTGGTCATGAATTATTAATCTCTGTGATTGAAGCCTCTCCCCTAAGTGATCCGTCCGCGAGCAAATGACAGACAAATTTGCAGCATTACCTCCTCCTCCTCCTCCTCTACCTTTCTCTCATTGCTCTTTCCCTTTCGCTTTCTCTCTTTCTCTTCCTCCTCCTCTACCTTTCTCTCATTGCTCTCTCCCTTTCGCTTTCTCTCTTTCTCTTCCTCCTCCTCTACCTTTCTCTCACTGCTCTTTCCCTTTCGCTTTCTCTCTTTCTCTTCCTCCTCCTCTCTACCTTTCTCTCACTGCTCTTTCCCTTTCGCTTTCTCTCTTTCTCCTTCTCCTCCTCTACCTTTCTCTCATTGACTCTCTCCCTCTCTCTGCTCTTTCGCTTTCTCTTTCTCTTCCTCCTCCTCTACCTTTCTCTCATTGCTCTTTCCCTTTCGCTTTCTCTCTTTCTCTTCCTCCTCCTCTACCTTTTCTTCATTCGCTTCCTCCTCCTCTATCTCAGCTCTTTCCCTTTCGCTTTCTCTCTTTCTCTTCCTCCTCCCTTACCTTTCTCTCATTGCTCTCTCCCTTTCGCTTTTTCTCTTTCTCTTCCTCCCTCTCTACCTTTCTCTCATTGCTCTTTCCCTTTCGCTTTCTCTCTTTCTCTTCCTCCTCCTCTACCTTTCTCTCACTGCTCTCTCCCTTTCGCTTTCTCTCTTTCTCTTCCTCCTCCTCTACCTTTCTCTCATTGCTCTCTCCCTTTCGCTTTTTCTCTTTCTCTTCCTCCTCCTCTACCTTTCTCTCATTGCTCTTTCCCTTTCGTTTTTTCTCTTTCTCTTCCTCCTCCTCTACCTTTTCTCATTGCTCTTCCCTTTCGCTTTTCTCTTTCTCTTCCTCCTCCTCTACATTTCTCCTCTACCTTTCTCTCACTGCTCTTTCCCTTTCGCTTTTTCTCTTTCTCTTCCTCCTCCTCTACCTTTCTCTCATTGCTCTTTCCCTTTCGCTTTTCTCTCTTTCTCTCTCTCCTCCTCTACCTTTCTCTCACTGCTTCTTTCCTTTCGCTTTCTCTCATTCTCTTCCTCCTCCTCTAACCTTTCTCTCATTGCTCTCCCTTTCGCTTTCTCTCTTTCTCTCCTCTCCTCTACCTTTCTCTCACTGCTCTTTCCTTTCGCTACCTTTCTCTCATTCTCTCTCTTTCGCTCTCCTCCTTCCTCCTACCTTTCTCTCATTGCTTTTCCCTTTCGCTTTCTCTGCTCTTTCTCTTCTTTCTCTGTTCCCTCCTCTACCTTTCTCTTTGGCTCTTCTCCTCCCTTTCGCTTTCCTCTCTTTTTTCCTCCTCTTTTTTTATTTCTCTCACGCCTCTTTTCCCTTTCGCTTTTCTCTTTCTCTTATCTCCTCCTCTTACCTTTCTTCTTTTGCTCTTTCCCTTTCGCTTCTCTTTTCCTCTCCTCCTCCTCTACCTTTCTCTCATGCTCTTTCCCTTTCGCTTTCTCTCTTTCTCTTCCTCCTCCTCTACCTTTCTCTCTCATTGCTCTTCTCCCTTTCGCTTTCTCTCTTTCTCTTCCTCCTTCTCTACCTTTCTCTCATTGCTCTCTCCTTTCGCTTTCTCTCTTTCTCTTCCTCCTCCTCTACCTTTCTCTCATTGCTCTTTCCCTTTCGCTTTCTCTCTTTCTCTTCCTCCTCTACCTTTCTCTCATTGCTCTCTCCCTTTCGCTTTCTCTCTTTCTCTTCCTCCTCCTCTACCTTTCTCTCACTGCTCTTTCCCTTTCGCTTTCTCTCTTTCTCTTCCTCCCCTCTACCTTTCTCTCACTTGCTCTTTCCCTTTCGCTTTCTATCTTTCTCTTCCTCCTCCTCTACCTTTCTCTCATTGCTCTTTCCCTTTCGCTTTCTCTCTTTCTCTTCCTCCTCCTCTACCTTTCTCTCATTGCTCTTTCCCTTTCGCTTTCTTCTCTTCTCTTCCTTCCTCCTCTACTCTTTTCTCTCAATCTTGGCTTTCTATCTTTCTCTTCTTCCTCCTCACCTTTCTCTTCAACTTCTCCTTTTCTCTTTCTCTCTTTCGCTCTCATTGCTCTTCTCCCTTTCGCTTTCTCTCTTTCTCTTCCTCCTCCTCTACCTTTCTCTCATTGCTCTTTCCCTTTCGCTTTCTCTCTTTCTCTTCCTCCTCTCTCTACCTTTCTCTCATTGCTCTCTCCCTTTCGCTTTCTTTCTTCTCTTCCTCCTCCTCTACCTTTCTCTCATTGCTCTCTCCCTTTCGCTTTCTCTCTTTCTCTTCCTCCTCCTCTACCTCTCTCTTTGCTCTCTCCCTTTCGTTCTCTCTTTCTCTTCCTCCTCCTCTACCTTTCTCTCATTGCTCTTTCCCTTTCGCTTTCTCTCTTTCTCTTCCTCCTCCTCTACCTTTCTCTCATTGCTCTTTCCCTTTCGCTTTCTATCTTTCTCTTCCTCCTCTACCTTTCTCTCATTGCTCTCTCCCTTCTTTCTCTTTCTCTTCCTCCTCCTCTACCTTTCTCTCATTGCTCTTTCCCTTTCGCTTTCTCTCTTTCTCTTCCTTTCCTTCTGTTTTTCTTTTGTTTTTGTTTTTGGCTTTCTCCTGCTCTCTTGCGCTTTCTCTCTTTTTTCTCTTCTTTCTTTTTTAATTTCGCTCCCCTTCTTTTTCTCTTTTCCTTCGATTCGATCTTTCTTTTATCTCATATCTTCAGCTTTATCTCCTTTTCCTCCTTTCATTTCTCTTCCCATCTTCTTTCTCTCGTTCTCCTCCTTTAGTCCTTTCCTTTATCTCCTTCAGTCCGCTTTCTCTCTTTCTCTTCCTTTCTCCCATTTCTCCTTCCTTCTTCTTTATATCTTTCTCCTCCTTTCATTCTTTCCTTTATCTCCTTCCTTCTAGTTTCTCTGTTTCTCCCCCTCCTCTTTAATTCTTTCTCCTCCTTCTCCTCATTTTTCTTCTTTCTCCTCCCTCCTCTTCCCTCTTCCTTCTTTCTATTCTTCTCTCCTCCCTTCTCTCTCCCTCCCTCTCTTCTTTGTTCTTCCCTTTATCCCCTCTCTTTATCAACCTTTCCCCATCCCTTCTTTCCACCCACCTCCCCTTCCATCTTTCTTATACCCTCATCCCTCGCTTTCCTCCTCCCCCTCTCTTATCTCTTTCTCCCCCTCCGTTTCTCTTTCTCTCCTTCCTCATTTCTTCTCTCTTCTTCCCCTTCCCTCTTTCTCCTACGTTCTCTTCGTACTTCTCCTTCCATCCGCTTCCAATCCTCTTCATTCCCCCTCTCCTACATCCTCCTCTTCTTTCTCCCTCCTTCTCCCCTCCCCTCTTCATCCTCCCTCTCCCCTCTCTTCTTTCTCCCTCCCTCCCCCCCTCTTCGGTCTTTATCACCCCTTCCTCCCTCCTTCTCCCCCATTCCCTCCCTTCCTCCCCCCTCCCTCCCTCCCTCCCTCCTCCCTCCCCTCCTCTCCCTCCCTCCCCTCCCTCCCTCCCTCCCTCCCTCCCTTGACACCCCCCCCCCGTACATCTCAGAAACATGAATTTCCTTGCATTTTCCTTCCCTCTTCCCATTAAATTATTAAAAAGGATATATTAATGACAAAAATCTTAACATCTTGTATTTGAATATTACAGGTTTGGTTAGAGTCACATTACACAATATATATTTATGTGTTTCTATACCTGTCTGTTTCTCTCCATCTTGCCATCAATTTGTCTGGCTCTCTATCTATTTATGAACATGTATGGCTCTCTCTAACTATCTACCTATCTATCTGTCCATCTATCTCTATCTAAATCTTTGTCTACCTATTACTGTATCTATACATCTATATCTATCTATTTATCTATCTATCTGTATATATATATATATATATATATATATATATATATATATATATATATATATATATATATATATATATATATATATATATATATATATATATATATATATATATATATATATCCGTATAATTATATACATCCATAAGTATATCCATCTACCTATATGTTGTATTTATGCGTCCATCAATCTTTCAATCTATCTATATGTGAGTATATATCCATTAATAAATCTATTTCCCCCCACCCCCCCACCCCCTCCTCCCCCACCCCCTCCTCCCCCCTCCCCCCTCAGAATCGTCCGAGACAAAGTTGGTCTGAACGTCGACATGCGCATCGGAATACACACCGGAAATGTACTATGTGGCATCCTCGGCCTCCGCAAGTGGCAGTATGACGTCTGGTCCGATGACGTCACACTTGCTAATCACATGGAGTCTGGAGGTGTCCCTGGGTGAGTTACTGTTTTGGTTTTTGTTTGTTTGTTTGTTATTTGAGTGTGTGATTGTTTTTTGTTGTTGTTGTTGCTGTGTGTATGTGTGTGTGAGTGTGTGTGTGCGTGTGCGTGTGCGTGTATGTATAAGAAATCAAAACCCAAAACCACAACGACAAACAAAACAAAAACAAACCGATTACAAATTTAAAAAAAAAAAAAAAAACACGAAAGATGAAAACCAAGCAAAGGAAGAATTTGATGAGGAAAGGAAGGAAATTAATCATGAAATCGTCCCTCGCTCGCTTGTCATCTGCCAATCAGCTGCTGCTCCGAAATGCACAGTTGCAGTTCAGGGAGAGATTAGGACGGCAGCTGAGCGGATACTTGGGCTTAGGTAATGTGGCAGTGACTTCACATGTAAATAAATACCTCTTCATGTTTGTGTTTATGCTTATGTGTGTATATTTATATATGTATATATATATGTATTATATATATATATATATATATATATATATATATATATATATATATATATATATATATATATATATATATATATATATAATATATATATATATATATATATATATATATATATATATATATATATATATATATATATACATATATATATATACACATACACATACATATATATATATATATATATATATATATATATATATATATATATATATATATATATATATATATGTATATATATATATATATTATATATAATATATATATATATATATATATATATATATATATATATATATATATATATATATATATATATATATATATATATATATATATATATATATATATATATATATATATATATATATATATATATACATATATATATATATATATACATATATATATATATATATATATATATATATATATATATATATACATATATATGTATGTATGTATGTATATATACATATATACATATATATATATATATATATATATATATATATATATATATATATATATATATATATATATATATATATATATAATATATATATATATATATATATATATATATATATATATATATATATATATATATATATATATATATATATAATATATATATATATATATATATATATATATATTATATATATATATATATATATGTATATGTATGTATGTATATAATATATATAATATATATATATATATATATATATATATATATATATAGAGAGAGAGAGAGAGAGAGAGAGAGAGAGAGAGAGAGAGAGAGAGAGAGAGAGAGAGAGAGAGAGAGAGAGAGAGAGAGAGATTTACATAAATAGATAAATAACAACCAGAGATGAATAGAAAAGAAAGAAAAAAAAAAATCTATAATTTATACACACACACACAGATAGATAGATATAGTTTTTTTCCTGTACTAGTTCAAAGGGAAAAAAATAAGATTGAATTTCAAGAACCGGAGTGGAATCCTGGATATCAGAGAAGGACAAAACAGATTGAAGAGGATAGAAGAACACTTCAGTGGATATGTTAAGTGAAGGTGTGGAATAGCAAGCTTCCAGACGGATAACGTTGGATAAATTATGAGAGGATTAAGGTCGTGGCAAAGGGCTGGCGAAGGCGCTGAAGATGACGCGAAAGGAGGAGGTCCTTTTGACGTGTCCTTCAGGTGGCTTGAAGAGCGTGACGGTGAGAGAGTGGCGAAGATGGCGAAGAGGAGATGTAAGAGTGATGGAAGTGGGGAGAGAGTGATGAGAGAGTGATGGAAATGGGGAGAGAATGATAAAAGAGTGGTGGAAATGGCAAGAGAATGATGACAATGGGGAGAGAATGATAAATTAGTGATGGAAATGGGGAAAGAGTGGTGAAATTATGATGGAAATGGTGAGTGATGAAAAAGTGATGGAAATGGTGAGAGAGGGATGAAAAAGTGATGGAAATGGTGAGAGAGTGATGAAATAAGTGAGACATGGTGATCGAGAAGTGAAAATGGATTTGCGAGAAACAACGAAACAAGGAGAGAAAGAGAGAGAACAAACAGGAGAGAAATAGAGAAACTAGATAAACAGTTGATAAATAGAGAAAATGGAGATGAATGGAGAAATAGGAGATATAGAAACGAGAGATAAATGGATGAATATGAGAGAAATACAAAAAACAGGTGATTAATAAAGGAACAGGAGATAAGTAAACAAACAGGAGATGAATAGAAAAAAATAGGAGATAAACAGAATAAGAGGAGATAAATAGAGAAAGAGGATATTAACATAAAAACAGGGGGGAGATATAGTTGAAAATAAGTAACACGGAAGGATCAGCAGAAGTAGGAGAAACAGTAAAAAAAATGGAG